TAATGTATCAGTTTTCTTGCTGCCATGATGAGGGCTAGGATGAGTTTTTCCAACGGAAGGTAATGTGTTTCGGCGTCAACCATTGCCTTACTCACATAATACACTGGCCGTTGCTCCCCGAGCTCTTTCTTTAATAGTACGGCACTGACGGCCCGGTCGGAGACTGCCAGATATAAAATGAGCGGGTCACCTGCCGAAGGTGTTGTCAAGAGTAGAACTGATCGGACGTAGGTCTTCAGACCGTTGAAAGTGGATTCGCACTCAGAGGTCCATTCAAAAGCCTTACCATGCTGTAGGGTATGAAAGAATTGTCGGCAGTGATCTGTGGAACGACTGATGAACCTGTTGAGTGTGGCAGCCATCCCTATCAACTTTTGAACCTCTTTCACCGATCGAGGGGAGCCGAGTTCCAAGATTACTGTGATTTTCCTTGGGTTGGCTTTGATTCCTCGGTGGTTAATAATATAGCCAAGGAATTTGTCGGATCCGATCCCAAATGCACACTTTGAAGCATTCAGCTTCATTTTATACTTTTGCAAAATACTAAATGTCTCCTCCAGATCGGCTAGATGAGTTTTCTCTTCTTTGGACTTAACCAGATCGGCTAGATGAGTTTGCTCTTCTTTGGACTTAACCACCATATCGTCAATGTACACTTCCATAGTACGACCGAGTTGCTCCTTGAATATGGTGGTGACTAGTCTTTGGTAAGTTGCCCCTACATTCTTCAGCCCAAAAGGCATAACCTTATAGCAATCGGTTTCTCCTGGGGTGAGGAATGCAGTTTTTTCTTCGTCCTCCGGATGCATAGGGATTTGATGGTAGCCTCTATAGGCATCGAGAAAGCTCATACGTTAATGACGCGCCGTGGCATCTACAAGTTGGTCTATTCTGGAGAAAGGAAAATAATCCTTGGGACAAGCTTTATTTAAGTCCGTGAAATTCACACAAACACGCCAAGTTCCATTTTTCTTCTTGACAACCACAGTGTTCGACAGCCATGTAGGGTAGGTAACTTCCCGGATTGCCCCGGCATCAAGCAACTGGTTAACTTCTTCAACAACGGCAGCAGTGTGTTCTGCGATTGACCACCGGCTTTTCTAAATAATTGGCTTGCATTAGGGTCAACGTTTAAACGGTGCTGCGAAACAGACGGATCCACACCCGGCATCTCATATGGTGTCCACGCAAATACATCAAAGTTGCCGAACAAGAAGGAAATTAGCTGCTGTCTGTCGGCTTCATTCAGGGAGGCGCCGACCAAGAAAAACCTGTCTGGATTCCCGTCAATTTCAACGCGATCCAGGGCTTCCATGGCCTTTTCACTTGGGAGCCGCCCAACATCATCGACGCTCTCTCGATCCGGCACCTCAATAGAATTCACTTCCAACTCTTTTAGTGTCTTTGTAGCAAAGCGATAACATGATTGTGCCAATTTCTGAGAACCATGGATTTGCTTAATGCCGCATTCTGTCGGGAAGCGGAGTAGTTGATGATAGGTGCTTGGCACGGCCTGCATGGTATGAAACTAAGTTCGCCCCATGATGAAATTATACGGCGAAGGTAGCTTGACGACCAAAAATTTCACATCTACTGTTCGGGAGCCCGCTCGAACTGATAGTGTGATTTTGCCCAACGGGTACTCCGGATTAGCGTTGAAGCCGAATAATGGATAAAGAGCCGGAGACAGGTCTGACTCGGCAAACCTGAGTTTGATGAAGGTCTTGTAATACATAACCTCCGAAGTACTCCCCTGGTCTATGAGAACGCATTTGACGGTGAATCAGTTTACGCATAGTTCGATGACCAATGGATCAATGTGGGGGAGTGTTACGCCAATCAAATCAGAATCGTCGAAGGTAATATTCGGAGCTTTATGGGGCCGTTTTGCTGGTGTGATTTGCTTTTGGGGGCCTGGATGCAATTGAATTGCATGCATGGTTAGGGCTGTTGGCAGGCTGTATATCATATGGATGACGCCGAGCAGAAGTGAATCCTGCCATAGGGCAACTGTTTTGGTTGAGTTCTTTCGGACATGTTGCTGGAGCCGACCGTCTTGTACCAACTCCTCAAGGTGGTCTTTCAAAGCATAGCAACTATCAGTATCATGACCGTGATCTTTGTGATATTCGCACCGCCTATCCTATCTCCTCGTGTCGGGAGGTCCCACTATTTTTTATGGCCATTTGAAGAACGGAAGGTGTTGAACCTTAGCCATAACCACACTGATCGGCTCCGATAACTCCGTGTATTTCTTGTCGGCGCGCCTTGCGCACCTGCTATCCACTTGAAGCTGCTCATTAGCTCAGTGTGGACATTGGTCGTTTGATCGGCGTGAATCCCGCCTTCTATCTCGCTTAGCCCGATTCCGTGATTCAGAGCTCCATGGTGGTACAGCATTTATCGGCTGCACGACTTTAGGCGGGGCCGACTTAGCATCTTTATGCCCGTCTTTGACCCGGAGGGCATCGTCTTCTACTTTGCAGTATTCCTCAACTTTTTTCATCAACGCCCAGACTGTTTTTGGGGGCCGTCTAGTCAAAGAGTTGCGGAGGGCATTGTCTGGATGTAAACCATCTTGAAGGCAGTAATAGCCATGGAGTCATTGCAGGCATCATCTACTAGATTAAAGCATTCCCAATACCGCGCCGAATACGCACGAAGGGTTTCCCCCGGTTGAATCTGCATTGCCCACAGAGAATCGGCTTGCTTCGGCTAGACCTCATTAGTGATGAACCTTGCCCTGAAGGATTTTTGGAGTTAGTGGAAGCTCTTGATCGAAGTCGGCTCCAATTTATAATACCACCTGACAGCCAATGGTCCTAAACTGTTGGGAAATAATCGGCACATGAGGGCCTCATCGTCTGCATGCAATGTCATGGCTTACTTGTAGTGACAGATGTGATCGGTGGGGTTTGATTTTCCATCGTAAAGAGTGAACGATGGAGCTTTGAACTTTTTGGGCAGTACCGCCCTTGTGATCTGTCACACAAAGAGGTCATGTTGATCCTCTTCGTCTGAGTCATCTCGTCTTCGTTTAGTCCTTGCACGCAGACTCCCTTCGGAAGAATTGGAGACTGCTACTTGTCCATTCTTTTTGGAATCTGGGGATGACGAGTCAGAATCACTACTATTGTCTTGTTTTCGAATTCGGGATCGTCGACCATCTTTTCTTAGAGGTCGTCCCGAGTCTTGGCGTGCAGCTTGTCGGGATTTTTCCACCTCCAAGGCCAAATCCTGTCGAAGGCGCTCGTTCTCAGCCAACATGTTTTCCAACCTCTGTTCGTTTTGCTTTGCTTGCTCCATAATCGCTTGCATTGCCTTATGTGCAAATGTCGAGGGTGAATCGAAGTTCAAGACCCTTCTTGCGGTAATATTCTCTAGCCCAAGCATATTGCTTGGAGTGGTTTCATCTTGCGGCGCAAGGTCGCCAGCGACTGCCGGAGGATCTTCTGTCACGCCTGCCGTGGATGTGCTTGAGTATTCCCACAGATGGCGCCAATTGTGGGGGAGTGGTTCTGGAAATACTCTTTTGATCCAACAGGAAGCTCGAAATCCTCAGCTAGTCACCTGAAAAAGAATGAACACTCCAGTCGGGGGTGCCGGAATTAGCACTCCGACGGTTAAGTCAGTATCTACTCTCTTGGTTACTTCTTTTTTAAGTTAAGTTTACTAGTTCTCACATACCTCCTTTGTGGCTGTTCTTCCTGTATTTATACTTGCCCCCTGGGCCTTAGGGTCTTGTCCACTTTTAGTCCACCCTATCAATGCTCACTCGATTTTTTTTGTTATAAATCAATTCTCGCTCAACTCCCCGCTTAACTGGCTCAGGGGCCGACTAAGGCGTTCTTCTGAAAGATGCTAGGTGGGGCTGAATAGGGATGTTCATTCAATAAGCTTCCAAGTATGTACACGACCCCCTCTGCAGTCCTCGAAACTCAGCTCCCAGAGTACCTCTTGAAATTTATTTAAAATATAGATGGTCTTTTATGATTTTAAAAATTATAAATATTTTCTTATCATATTTTTTATTAATTAATTTTTTATTTCATAGAATTAATAAAAAAATTAAAATTCTTAACTACTCTCTTATAAAATTACATGAATTATTATTTGAAATATATTTTTTGACATCATTAAAAATTGTTAATTGACTTAACAATTTATTAATAAAAAAGAGTTTATTTGTTATGCAATTAAAAACTTGGAAGAACGGGATGTAATTACAAGAACCATTGTGAACAATTTATAGCCCTTTGGCCGGCAAGTCTCTCCTAAATGGGAGGTCTTGGGTTCCACTTTTAGGAGTAGAATGTAAGGCCAAGATTTTGTTTGCAAGGTGTATGAGTGTGAGTTTCAATTCTCCTAATGTGTTAATTTAACAACTAATCACTGATTTTCGCAGATTAAAAAAAAAAACAAAAAACAATTTATATTTTAAAAAAATTTGAGATGAGTGTATTTGTAATTGAGACATTTGGTAGAAAAAATGGATAAAACTTTAGAGATCTCTACCAGTTTTTTTTTTTTTTTTTTTTTTTTAATTTTCCAAAAAAAAAAAAAAATTTTTCCCATTTTTTTTTTTTTTCACCCTTAATTTTTTACCCCCCCCCCCCAAATAAATAAAAAATTACGTGGGGTGATCCCCACCAGTATGGCCATCTAGTCTGTACACTCTATTCTCTCTTTCTCTGTCCAGAGTCGGATTGAGAATTATCATTATTATAAGGTGTGAAATTATGCTTGAAACTATTTCAATTTTTTATAATTTTTAATTATTTTAAAATTTATAATATAATATATAATATTTTTAAAAAAAATTTAGAGTGTGATTGTACCTCCGCACCTCCGTCCTTGTCTCTCTCCATGCATGAGTCCTCACTAGTCTCTTTCTATTCCAAGCACTAACTCATCCCGGTCCACTGCATATCAACAAAGAAGCTTAAAGGCGAAGAAACTTCGCCCACTCAAAAACCCTAAAAAATACAATAAAACAAAAAGAAATGAAGAATGAAAGCAAAAACAAAATTTTTAAAAAGAAAGCTTCACCTATCTTTCTTTCATCTTCTTTCTCTTTTTCTCTTTCTCTTTCTCTTTCTCTTTCTTAGTTCTCTGGTATTCTTCACCTCTGATTTTGATTCTCCACCATATATTTCAAAAAACAATCCACCAACCTTTACAAAAAGATAAAGAGGGATCCAAACTTAAAGACATGGTTTTCTCATCTGTTCCACTCTATTTAGATCAACCCAATTGGCACCAGGTAAGGTTTCTTCAATTTCTTTACACATCAAAAAGATAGATTAATTAAAAAAAGATCAATAATATTCATATTCCTTTGTAATCTCTTCTTGGATATACCAGATATTAGTTTTTTCTCTTCACTTTCTTTTTTGTTATTTTAATTTTTGGGTTTTTTTTTTTTTAGTTACAGCAACCAAACCATCAAGAAGTATGTGGTGGCGAAAATTCTCAGTTTCAGCCGCCGCCGCCACCTCAAGTGGGTGTTGGTTGCGGTGGTGGTGGCTCAATCAGACCTGGTTCGATGGTTGATCGAGCACGGATAGCGAAGATTCCTCAGCCAGAGGCAGGACTTAAGTGCCCGCGATGCGAATCAACCAATACAAAATTTTGCTACTTCAATAACTACAATCTCACGCAGCCCCGGCACTTCTGCAAGACGTGTCGCCGGTACTGGACACGAGGTGGTGCTCTAAGGAATGTTCCGGTGGGTGGAGGCTGCCGGAGAAACAAGAAAATCAAGAACAGTAGTAGCTCAAAATCTCAGGTCACCGCCGATCAAAAGGCAGTGGTAGGGCTTAAATCCACAAGCCCAAGTCCAAGCCCCTCTAGCTGCAACAACAACACAGACATGCCTAGTAGTCATTTTACACAATTACCCTTCATGGATTCGGCTTTACAAAACCTAGGTCAGTATGGCGGTGGAGGGGGTAATTTGGGTATTATTAGTGGTGGATTTCAGGCACAAATGGCGGCTACTGGTGGTGCTGGGCTGACGAGTTTAGGGTTTCAGATATCGGGTGGTGGAGGAGGAGCTGATCAGTGGCGATTGCCTTTCTTGACCGGTCTTGAAACTCCGGGGATTTTTTACCCGCATCATCAAAGTGAAGTTGTTCAAAATCGATCTTCGGGACAGGTTGAGACGGTGGCACCACTGGGTGGTGGTGGTTCTGGTGTTGCTCTGGCGGCTGCTCCGGTGCAAATGGAAGAGAAAAACCGAGGAGGGCTTAACTTGTCAAGACAGTTTATGGGTATTTTTGAGAATAATAATAATAATAGTCAGTACTTGGGTGGGAATACTTGGACTGAAATTTCTGGAATGAATTCTTCTTAAAGACCATTGGTACAAAGTTGAATGACTGTTACAGTGAAGGACTGAAGCACCTTAAGTTTCAAGCTTCATCGCCGGTGAAGATAATGAAACAACGATGAAATTGTGAGGGGTTGATTGAGGAAGTACTTGTCTCATCATCGTCATATATAACATACTGGAGAAGAAGAACTGGTAGTGTTTGTGTTTTTTATATACTTATGTGTGTTTTATTTATCTTGTTTTTTGTGTTTTTAAGAAGCACTTTTGTGTTGTGTGTTAGTGTAAAATTGTGTGTTGGTATAAAAAAGTGTGCGATGATTTGTGATTTTGTTTATCTAAAATGAGCTGATTTTCATGGAAAACACATTACTCTCATGTTAATTTTTCTAGGCATTGGCATTATAATTAGTTGCATGGATAGACAGAATCCAAAAATCCTATTATTCAGCTGTATAAACTGAAATTATTATTGACTTAAATCACTAGAAAAAAGCAAGCTGGTTTGAATTGTTACCAATTGTCTATACATGTTAGTTTTACTTTAAATTTTCCTATTGTTGAAGAACATTGTCTTAGATTTGATGGCATGAGCTTGATAAATATGAACTGATATGTATTGAGCTTTGAATTTTCAATATTGGTAACTACTGTCTAATATCAATCGATATATAGCTATATCACTGATATCAATACTGAAATGTAATTCATCATCTTTTAAAGCGGCAAATGTATAATAGAACTAAGCAATGTTCCATTATAGGTTAATTTTGAAACTTTGATAGTAGGTGATCATGCTCTTCTCTCTCTTTAGCAGCATCTTCATTAGTCTAGCATGAATATATGTAATTAAACTTGCTTTATTCTTGATCCCAAAAAAAAACCTTGCTCTATTCAATCTTGGACAATAATCTAATGATTACACAAAGCAAAATGCAAATTCCAAGGTGCCCTTGACTCAGATTTGTAGAACTAGGGAAAAGTTGGTTCTAGATTATTTCAGCTCTCCAAGAAAGTGTTCTTAAGGACTTATGTATTTGTACGTATTTATATAATATGAGTAATGATTTGTAAATTAAAAATTTATACAAAAATTTATAAATAATGATATCGTTTAATAAGTATCTTTCATCTTAAAATAAAATGTCTATAAAAATAATTTATATTTATAATAATATTATTGTTACATTATTTTTATAATATTTTTTATATAAATTTTATGTATAAATAAAATTTTTTTTATATGACATGTGATGACAGAAAGTGAGGGAGAGAGCAGCACATCATGATACTACTGTTAAAAATGATTTTGTAATAAGTAGTATGGACGTACTTATTTGTTTGTTTTGAGAGTGGGAATTGAAGAGATTGAGACAAAGTGTCTGCAAAACGCCAAAATTCTACTCAAAACCATGCATTTCAAACAAATCGAAGTGAAGGATTGTCATATGTTCTTTAATAATACTAACCATTCAGAAAAAGTATTTAAAAAATTATATTTATAAATCACAATTATTTTAAGTGTAATTAATATTTCGTTAATTTTAAATTTATATTATCCACCTTATTTTTGGAATAAAATTTAAAATACAATTTTATAATGCATAGTGTTTTGTTTATATTGTCTGCGAGAGAGACATAGGCAATAGGTTAAATATCAATAAGTCACCAAAAAAAAAATGATGTATTTTTCTTCTTCTTTTGGAAGAAAAATGTTAGGAACTCACTCTTATGAATTTATAATTTATCCTCAATGTGTTTGTATGGTAGAGATTAAATTAATGAAGTGTGGAATCTATAAGTAAAACAAATTTAAACTATTAATTTTCTTTTTCTAGATAAATTCTAATTAATAAAGGTGAGTCTGTAGTGTTGTTACTTTTGGAAACCTTCTTTCCTCTTGGATATATTGGTTTGATCTGCCTTATGTGTGTATACCATTTACTATACACTTTAAATTTTTTAAAAATTAATGTTATGTGGGGGAGATTTATTGAATCAATAATATAATAGAATATGTCATATCAAATGATAAGTATAAAATATAATTTTAAGTGTATAAAATTTGATCACAAAATTAGATGCAACACTTTCAGATGAATTGTGACTAGTTAAATGTATGAGTTTTACTCCATATAAGAGGGTTGTAATCAAATTACGTGCATATAGAAAACTTGAAATATAAATGATCTATCCAAATAATAAACATATAATTACTCAAATAAACTTGGTATTATCATATATTATTCTCGTGAACCCGATTTTAGTTATTAAAATTTTATTACTGCATATCACATGACAACAAAAAAAATTATAACTGTTGTTAATTTGTATAGTATTCGTCCCTTTTATGTGTAGAGAATAATGTTTTTGTGCAAATCTTGTAATATAACTACATAAATGTTATTGTAATACAAGTGTGAGTTGATGATAATAATAGTCTAAAAAGAAAGGAATCCAGAGAATTTGCTTTTTGCAAGGACCAAGACTATAAACGAATAAAGCAAATAGAAACCACCAGTAATCAGAAGAAGGGCAATAAAGCAATCTCTCTCTCTTCTCTCTCACTATTATAGTGTGTCAAGTTTGGGTCAGAGGACGTAATAGGCTGTGAAAACAGTTATTGTGATATATCAAAATAGTAATGATTCATTAACACAATTTTTTTTTCCCAATCCTACCGAATGAGACTATTATTAAAAAAAAATCAGACTCTTATCGATAACAATTTCATTTGGAGAGACTCGGGAGTAAAATTGTGTAAATAAATCATCAATCTATACCAAAATTGCTGATGTGCAATGTTGATAGCCCCGACATGAATAGGCGTGAAATGTTCCCTCTGTTGGTCTGTCTTCCAGCCAGCTTTCGCTTTTTTAGACCTCTCTTTCTCACCATTCGTTTCTTTTCCTCTTCATTCTTGAAATGAAGAATTTTAATTAGTAGTACTAAAAATACATAAAGTTTCAAATCCAGAATGTATAAAATGTGAGATAAAAAAAAATTATATTTATAGTTGTGATATGTTCGCATTATGTGTTTAGAACTCCTTGTAAGGAAAATTTGATTATAAACCCCTCTTAGTTTTCTTTTCTTGATAAAAGGACAAAAAAAAATTAGTACTTTTAAAACTTCTTTATAATTATAAAGTTTTATATGAAGGAACAAATTTGTTATTTGAATATTTTATTTGATCATCATACTCTCTATTTATTTTCTTTCTTTTACAGTACTCTCTTTATTCACCAACTTGATGGTTGTTCATCGCCTCTACCATCTTCATCATCTGCCGTCATCGCTTATCCTTACCGTCGACTGGCGACCACTATTTTTACCGTCAAACCACCACCATCTCAGATTTGATACTTACGAACTCATATTTGAGATCAATAACTTCAGATTTAAGATAAATGAACTTAAATTTGATATTAAAAAAAAAGAAAAGAAAAAAAAGAGAAATCAAGAAAATGCAATGAAAAATCAGGAGTTTTTTTTTTGTTCATAGATCTAAAAGTAAAATTTTACTTTGATTTGTTCATTATGTACTTTGTTTTTCGTAACAGTAAAATTTTATTTTAGTTAATGACAAGCTAATATTCTTAATGATAGTAAAATTGTATTTTGAATCATAATAAACTTTACTCTAAATCAAAGTAAAGTTTACTATGTTTTACTCTGATTCAGAGTAAAATTTTATTCTGAAACATACTGCGAGGATGAATTTACGGGGAGATGGCTGCATCATGAACCAGAGTAAGATTCAACATGAGTAGAGGTGGGGGTTGGATCCCAGTGCTGAGACAAAGGAGAGGAGGTGGAGCACAAGGTAATGAAGCAAGGCATGGAGTTGTTACTGTTTTCGTGGACAACATACCCTCAGCAATGGCTGCAAAGGCTTTGTTCAAACTATTTTCAAATTTTAGGATTGTGAAGGAAGCATTTATCCCATACAAAAGAAGGCAAGCGACAAACTCACGCTTTGGGTTTGTGAGATATGACTGTCAAGTAGCAGCAGCTGTTGCCATTGAAAAATGTAACGGCCTTTTGGTGGATGATAAGGTGCTGGAGGTCAAAGTTGCTGCATATGATAGAAATAACAGAGGTGAACAGGGAAGGGGGAAGCCTCAGCATTCCAGAAGGGCCCCTCACACAAACAACTTTAGTAGAAAAGCTGCATTAGTGGGTCATAGATCTTTCGCAGAGGTACTAAAATGGGACATTCCTTCAACGGCTGGGGAAGAAAGCATGGAGATTCAAGCCTTTGAAGAAGGCAACGGTTCGCTATATGACAATGTAATCATCAGATTCAATACAGAATATCCCACTCACATTATTTCAAAAGCCCTGAAGGAGAAAGGGTTGGAGCAGGTAGTGGTCAGAAAAGGGGGAGGTCGTGATATAATATTATCTTTTAAATCTTAAGCGAAACTGCATTCAAACATCAGCCAACTCAAAGATTGGTTCAAGGACTAGAGTCTTTCCGTGTCGGAATGGAAACCTGGCTTTCATTTACAACCTGAGAGATGTGTATGGCTGAGATGCTTTGGCATACCACTGAATCTATAGAATAGAAATACTCTAAATAACATTGGGCGCACATGGGGTTCTGTTCTTAGTTTAGAGGGTGACTTATGTCAACCAAAGTTATTCTCTCATGCTAGAATTAGAGTGGTCACTGGGTGTATGGAATATATCAATAGAACTGTCAATTTGAAGTGTAATGGAAGTTCACATCCCGTTCTAATCTGTGAAGATCATCCAGTTTTCTCCGATTACTTGGACCACAACGGTTTGGAGGAGTTCAGCTCCATCGAAAATTGCTACAGTAAGGAGACTAGAAATGTTTGAGGAGCAGATGTTAGAATTAAGAACGTCCGTAATGGAGCGGTAGCTCAACGGTAGGGGCTCTCTGTCAGTCACATAGGTGAGGTAGTGGATACTATTGTTGAGGAGACACTAGCTGTAGGAGGTTACAGCAAAGAGAAGGAAACAAGCGTTGAGGAGCCTCTGTTGGAAAGGTCAGATCGCAATTCAAAAAGCAATGATGACAATCTTAGGTGTATCCCTCAAGTCTATACACCCAGGTTTATCAAAAACTTCAATGAAGATGGTGATGGGCCTGGAATGGCACTAATTTGGAAGGGTTATCAGCAATGGAGTCCAGAAAAGACTTTGGGCTTGGCATTAATTTGGAAGTGGTTTTGGACCATTCTTTAAATAAGTTCTCAGATTGTGGTCCTTCTAATAGGCCCAAGGAAGTGGTTAGTACCAAACATGGCAATTTTGTTTCTTTGGCCTCATCCATTCTTCACATGCAATCTGCTGGGCCTAATCTCTCTGCTGGGAAGAGTTTTTTGACCCCTTA